ATCTAAGTCTGATTCTGAAGGTAAATTAATATCTGACAGTGATCATTACACAGTGTGGCTCTAATTCCTCTCTTCGCAGCTTCCCGTCTCCAAAATGAGCGTACGCATGGGTCAGAGCTGGCGTGAGGCACCGCACATTTTCACGTCAAGTTTGGATTTTATAAATCACAACCTTGGCGTAAAAAGTGGCGTACGCAAGTTTCTGGGCTCAAATTGTGCGTACGCAAGTTTTATAAATCCGACCCCAGATCCTTGCAATCCAGTCTTGTTTCTTCAGGCTTCAAACAGACAACACCAAACAGAGTCAGTAGCAGAATTAACTGTTTGGAATTGGCAGAGAAGATTTGGCAAGTTTTTCATCGGTACAACCCAAATACTCACAAATACTTTTACTAACAAATGTGGCACTATTTTAARGGGAGACAAACAGGCTTTCCAATAGTTTAAGATTCATTGCCAAGAAGCATTGTTACAAAAAAATCAACCAAACACAAATTTCCTTTCTTTTTGTGCTCAGTTTATAATTTAGTATGACATAATTGTCCATTCAGTCTGTGTGGGTTTGTCCATTTATATGTTGAGGATTTAAAGTAGGACAAAGCTTAAGGATGGAAATTTGGCAATTTTACAACAGGAAAAGTGCACTGGGGTCTTATATTTTCTGGCACACAGAATAGAGAGTGAGAAGAAAAGCAAGAATGGTTTGAAAGGAGAGTCAGAACCAGAGCGATGAAGGATCAATAAGTTGAAACGGTTTTTAAAGAAAGTGGGACAGGTTGTGTAACACGGAGAGATTCTTAGTTAGTTAACTACCAAAAATTTGAAGTTCAATCCCAAATCTGTGCAGGAGAAATGGAAAGGAGTCCTCTTGTTATCTAGCCTCGGTGTTTACTCAGATTTCTCTCACAGATAGCATCAGCAAATAAGCTGTGATCATGTCGACGTGCTGTGAGACCAAGGCAACACTGACCTTTCACCACTGTGAATACACATGTACACAAATAACACACACAGACACAGACACACACGTGCACACGACCCTGCTGTTCTCTACATTCTGCTCTGTTATAAACACTGCAGCGTGTGGCCAAAGCAAATATAAAACATGGTTTATATTTTTGTTTGTGAGGCCCTCTATGTAATTGCTGTGTGCACAGATGACAAATATAAATTCTTTTGTGCCTAATGTTTTACATGAAACACAAAATGTTAGATTAAAGGGTCAGTTTATGTAAATAAAAACATACAGCATTGTTTTGGTGCTAAGTTATCTTGCTTTATGTCATTGCCATTGGTGTCTATTTGGCCATCATTTTTGATTCTTTAGAAAGTTTTACATGAAACCAAACCTCAGTTGGTGACCATGCATGCGCAGAAATGTGTAAGTTGTCAGGTTCTACATTTCAGTTAATGAGTAAAGGCTGAACATCATTTCCCTGGTGTTAACTCTACTTCTTAATTTTAGATTTTGGCCAATTTACCCCTTCCACCAGGTTCATGCTGATGAGTTGGAGTTTGAACTACTGTAATGTCTTGCTTAATGGGATGGGCAATTGGCAGCCCGCTGGCCACATCTGGCCCACAGGTGATTCCGTTTGGCCCGCCAGTGAGGCGGAATTTGGTTTTAACTTTAAAAAAAAACCCTCAAAGCAGCTCTTAAATTATTTTAGAAAATTTAAAAAAATGTATAAAAATGTCTCAGTGGCACTGAATTGGTTGTAATGACAACGTTTGCCACTAGATGGTACCTCCAATGCAGACCCTCGCTCAAGCACAGAGACGTTTTGGCTACGAAATGAGGAAAGAGATAAAACCACGTTTCAGGTGAAATGAAAGGTAGATGATTTGTTCACAGAATTTCAAGGTAAACCTATATGTTTAGTCTGTTTAGAGACTCTGGCAAGGAATTTAATATGTCACCGCTACAACACGTTGCACAAAGCTAAATGTGAGAACTTTACGAAAGTCCCAAGCACATAAAAAAGCAACTTTTTACTAGAACCACAACCAGGCAGGAGTCTGCACTCAAGAAGTATTATGTTGTTGCACTTCAGCTCGCTAAAGCAAGTGTTTATTTTTATGTTTGCTTCAAACACTTGTATTCATAATTATTACAAAAGAGTAGAACTCTTACACATGCATTTGAGCATGAAATAGGTTAAGTTACTGCACTGTATACAGTATAAACATTTTTTAAAGTGGCAGTTTTATTACATTAAGATAAGTGTGCAAGGCTATGTGGCCCTCTGGTAATGTCAACAAAAACTTGTGGCCCCTTTCGTTATTTAAGTTGCCCATCCTTGCATCACATTATGAACCGTTATTGTTCTTACATAACAAGCATAAAAATAATGTGAAGTTTGTTGCAGGCTATTTCAGTGGTTTCACAGAGTATGGGCATGTTAAAGTGTGAATTAACAGAATTAGTGACAAGTTATGGTGGTTCTTGAAGGGGTGTCCCATTTTTTCATGAAACATGTTAAACCCCTTAGAACTTCAAATCAAAGGCTAAATTGGAAGTTGGGGCAAGGCGTAAGCATATTAAGGATAACACCAAGTAACTCAATTCATCCTTCGAATGTCTTAGACCTTAATTTGAAGTCACATTTAGTTTGGGATAAAATATTCTATAATGAAATGAGACACCCCATCAAGTAGTAAGTCAAGTAATTTTGCCATTGAAACACACATCATTTGACATTTATTAGCAGGTGTTTCAACCCTTCCCAACCGTGACCAGAACTGAGACACCACTTCTTGACACGAATGTCCAAAATGTTAGGGATAAGAGAGGACTTGAACCTTGTAGTTGGAAGTGTTCTGTGCTGATGAAGATTAAAATGATACATGATGAAAAATGTATCTAAAGGAGCTTTAGTTTATTGGGATTTGACACCACCCAGCTTCAGTAACTCAGGGGACGAGAATGTGTTGGTCTTAACGTGATGAATAGATGAAATGATTACAATGGCTATTTAATGAAGCCTATTTAAAGGTCATAAACATTGATATTGCCTTGCAGGCATTCATTTTTTGTTCTTTTTACAAGATACACGTCCCCTATTTATCTCCCTCTTCTTGATTTCTTTTCCTGTTTGTGCGACGGAGTGGTCTGACAGCAGAGAGCAGACAAAGTCGGGTTACCCTGGTAATTTAAGAGGACGGAAGTATCCTGGACAGAGTCCCTCCTCCCACTGCACCGAGAGTCCCATTGATGATTCACCAGCCTGCACGACGAAGGTTGGTGACCCCAATTTGAGTAAGGCATGAGGAGGAGGAGGAGGAGGAGGAAGAG